ATGTGTATATATATATAAGTGGAGAACAGGTGCTGCAGGCGGACGTACCTCCACAAGCGAAACATTCCAGGAGCGCATCCACAAGGCTGGCAACTTGAAGAATCTACTTCTCGACGCGCTGCTTCCTTTCCCGTGGCCTTAAGGTCGATTATGTCCTGCCGAATTGGTTTTCCAGCGAGGCGAGCGAGGGAGAGAGAGCAAGAGCGAGAGAGAAATAGGGGTGCCCCAGATGGGGTGGAGGTCCGTGAAGGACGCTTAGTCCCCAAGAGAGAGTTGGTCATTCTCCTTTCTGACCTTGTCAGCTTCTACCGAGCCCGCCCCGAAGGTGTGCCACCTCGTGAACTGCATGCTTCAAAGATATCCACGCCAACGCTACACCGCCAGCAAGGTGCCATAGAGAAAAGGAAGTCTTCAATATCTGATTATCTGCGGTGCCATGTCGTGCCAGGTCCTCGAGCACAAATGGTTGGCGACATTTTTCCTGAAGCCGAAGCAGGCCTGGCCGTGGTCTTGTGCCCCAAGTGCATCCAAACAGTCAAGGTTTGAGGCAGTTCAGATCAGTTCAGGCTGGCGCACGGCCGCCAAGCCTCGAGCCGACACCGGAGCTGCCCTCGCCAGGGTCTCTGCCACTTTAGCCGCAGCGCGCATCCTTGATGGGAGGGCTGGAAAGGGCATACGTCGAGAGGGGGGACGCATGAAGTTTCGTGAACATGGGCTTGTAGTGCGTCGTCAGATCCGTGCACGACAATATCTCATTGGCCCGCTTGCCTTCAACCTCATTCCACTCAACAGCCAACTTCCGGTGGCCATGGAAACGCTCAAGCAGGGTCGCATGCATTTGACCTCCTTGGCGGAGTCTTGCAGCCGAGGCCAGTCCCTACGCAAATCTGGCCGGTGAGGCTCCCAGACCCCTAGAAATGTGTTTCAATGTTTTGGCTTGGCCTCTGCAGAGCACCAACTGGAAGCCAAGGTGTCAGCTGCTGTGCCTCCGCACGCAGGCCTGTGCGGAAACGTGAGAAAGTGACGACATGTGTCGCTTGAGTGTTGAGTTCCGCCAGTCCTGAGCCGTTGGCGATGAGTCTTAGAGTCCTAGAGGCCTACCCAAGAGCTTATCTCGACCTGAGCTGGGGATCCACCCTGGCGCCTGCCGAGCGCATGCCTTAAGAGCTCACCTGGACCTGCAGAGAGAGACCGTCTTGTCCAGAGCTCGCCCAAGGCGCACTATGAGATTCGGGCAGCTCGGCTCACCTATGCGAGCAAGCCACGTAAGACTTGGCATGTCTGGCAGACATTGCGCAACCGCGGTTTTTGTTATGTGGTGCTTCCGGGAAAATCAGAATACTGTAAGTGGATTGCCGGCACGTGTTTCTTTCGGTTTGCATTGGATCGAGTTTTCTTTTCTGGGCGACAGTATTTTACCTCAAGGGCATCGGAGGAGAAGGGAGGAGACAGTCGGTCGGCTGTTTTGCAAGGAAGAATCTGCCTGTATTCTCTACTGTAGCGCTCAGTCCATAGGCCTCGGGCCTCTGGTAGACCGGGAGCCTTGCTAAGATTCTTGCGAAGCTGCAGACCTACAGTAGGCCTCTCCTGTCCGCTCGATTTCCCAAGAGTAGATTCCAAGCTAATCTTGTATTTCTTTTCCTAGTTGTTTTCGTCTCAGCGTTTGTCTTGTAAGTTGAGTTCTGGTAAAATGCAGATGTGATTGCTGAAGGCCGCCCCATGCTGTGCACCCAGCTTGCACTGCCTGTGTATCCGAAGTGTTTCGAGGGCAGACGCCGGCATTCCTCTTGCAAGTCGAGCTTTAGGTCCGGGACGACAGCCGTCACCAATCGTCCAACCCTTGGATGGAGTGTTGCAGTGGAGTGGAACGATGAAGAGGGCACTGCCCTGAACCGCAATGAACGGCAGAGATTGATTCAAGGCGGAAGGTCACAGACGTCCGCAGGCAGCAGATTCATCTTCGTTGCAGAGACCGACTCCGCCGCTGCAACGTTTCTGTGCCCGTCAGGCCCACTTCGCTCAGCGAAGCGGCCGCTGCCCTTGGACTGCCATGCATGCGGAAGCCGAGTCTGCCAGCGTTGCCATGCAAGGCGGTGCTGTGAGCAGTGGAAGAGCCCCGTGCCCGCGGGATGATTCTGGGAGTCACAACGTGCATGTTGCGCCAAGAGGTCTATTCGGAGAGGTGATTTGGCTTGACAGGGCGACGGCTTGTTTAATGCGCATATCCTCGGCATTGCGGTTGTTACCAGTACAACGCTCAGCGCCACATGCTCGTTGCGACATGCGAGGTATCCTGCACACGGCGCCGGGATTACCATCGCAGCAGGACGTCGTGCTGGGCTCTGGCTGGCCCTGGATGTTAGTGTAAGTCGCCCCAGGGCCTTTTCCCATGCCAGCTCCGGGTTCGCCGATCATTGCCGGCCGGCCGGTGCGCAAGGTCCGGCGAATGCGTCAGAGTGCATTGCATCTCATCTGAAACACTGTCTTGTTCAAGGTGGCGGCGCCGCACGCGCGCTGTCAAGTTTGAGGGCACCCATCACGAGCCCCAAACGATCCCGACATATAGCAAGATGGCATCCTCCAGCTTGTTGTGATGTTGCCTGCCTGGTTCGCCGAATCTCCTGTGGCGCTCCCTTTGGCTCATGCTGGTTGATCAAGTTGGCTTGTGGAAACAAGGCACGGGCACCGTGCGCGCAAGCGCGAGAGCATCGTATCGGGCCCTCAGGGACAATAGACTTACAAGTACAGCTCAGCGCAGCATGGGTAAGGCATCACTACAACACATGCCACACCAAAGAAGTGTGCAATGGACTGAGCGTGTTGAGAACACCTCCACGCTCAGGAGCTGGGGTACTGTACTGGAACTGAGTGACAGACATGCTGAACATATCAAGCTCCCACCTGTCTGGTACATCCTAGGCTCGTCAGAGATTCGTCAGATCTGCGACTTGCTAGGAGATGCTCGGACTTACCAAGCTGCTGGAAGGCCTGTACCTGGCAGGAACCCGATGTTTGCATAATTCGGTTGTCTTCAGGCCAGCGAAGGCTGCTGCACAGTCGAGCAGCCGCTTGCTTGTGGCCTGTTCTCCCATTTGTGCTGCCGGCTCATTTTCTGGGGGCCCTTGCTTCGTATCAATATTTTCTAACTTGTGGACAACACGCCGATGGCTCTCAGCTCCTTCTCTTCGGAGACTTACTAGGTTTCGACATGTTTGGCATGCACAAAGACAGGCGTAAAACTGGTGTAGTGCAACGGCGAAGCGGCCGTGTGTGACTGAACTCTAATGCTGTCCTTGCGAAGGGCGCAAACCGGCCCATTTGTTTGAAGATGTAGTTGCCCTCGGGACGTTCCCGTGCCATGATTGCACTGCTTCGTGTGTCCTTGGCATTCCTTTGCAACTTTGCCAGCGGCCCTGCAACGGTGCTAAGCCGCTTGCCAGAGCGCCTGTCTTGTGATCTGGGGGTTTGCGAAAATAGGGGACCCTAATATAGTACCCTAATTAATAGGGTCCCTATTATAAGGACCCCAAAATAAGGTACCCTAATTTTCTGAAACTCCCATCTTGTGGCAAAGGACTGAACCTGCCCCAGTTGCACAGGCAACAAGTCGGTCTTCACGCATGCTCACTTCCACTATCCTGTGGCATTGACTATCTGCCACTATGTGTTCACGTGGCTGACGGTACGACTGCTAGCTCGCTTTGGAGTTTATGAGTGACCCGTATGCACGATGCGCTTTCCTTTTTTGTTTCAAGTCAAACTTCCCTCTTTCGTTTAAGCAGGCTTCAGCAAAAAGCAACATCCAAGGAGGATGTCGTTTCAGCTGCTGTCTCCTAAAGCCGACTCTCCCGCCAAAGTGGCCTGGCTGCGCAGATGGCATTTTTGATTCCAAATCTCCGAGACTTCTGAGGCAATCATCTGCTTGATGCTTTGGCTGCAAGTTTATAGGGCTTTGGCAGGGCTCCATGATCTGACTCCGTAATGGTGGCTTGCAGTATGGGCATGCTGCACTGCTCGGGCGCAGTCGTGTCCCGACCACCTTTGATCCTTCTTAGGATCGTGGTATGGAGTCTCTACAACATTGCATCGAATGCTTCCTTGTCCCAGAATTCGGTTGGCATGTATCAAATGGTGAAGCCACTCGCTTGCGTTTTTGCGTGCTACTTCGGACATGACACTGGCAACACACTGGTAAGCAAGGGTGAACTAAATGAAGATGTGGGAATGGGAGCGCGATTTGCGGTTGATGCACATTTGGAAGCAATTCGGGACTTTCCTCTGAGCCACCTCGGGGCCGCAGTTTTTCGTATTGGGACTACAGGCCCCAAGCCCCAAAGGCACTATGGACAGAACATGGGAGCAAAGGGCTTTCAAAGGCCACATGTACTTTGCAGTGTACTGGGCAAGTTTGCCGACAAAGCAGTACTGACCTGCGCAACCGGGGAAGCGTGTGCCATGCTCGGCACAATGACCCATTGCTGAGCTTCAGCGTCATGCCGTCTTGTCTCTGGCTCTCATCTTGATCGTCGCAGGGCTTGGCAGCATAGTTATTGTCGCTGCAGCCTTCGCAAATCTAAGACTGCTGATGACTCCATTCGCCGTGCTCTGGGACTTTGCCATGTATGGCAGAAAACCTACTGCTTGCTGCTCGGTGACACAGCTGTGTGCAGCAGAGTCAGGTCCTGGCTTGTGCAGTATCGGCTTTGTGTCGGACAGCTTCGAAAGCTTGTCGGTCGGATGGAGTTGGATGTTAGGCCATTGTAAAAGTGAGCCTTTGCGCACTTCTGTTCCGAAGATCTTCTGGTCTTCTCAGGGCAAGCCGTCCTGCTCACCATGGCGGTTTTTGGCATCAGCCAGTGCACTGTTTCTGGAATCCAGAACGGCGAAGTCACGCGCACCTCGGCTTGCCCGAATCAGCTGGACGATCGCACCTGCTCGGTATTTGGAAATGGCACTTCAGGTTTTGGTCTGGCAGTGGCGCTACTGTCGACACTCTTCGCAGCACTCGCCCGAGCTTATAAGCACCATTTGCTTAGCACGAAAGCCTCCCCGACTGTCAGACGGGTGTATAAATGAGCATCTGGTAGCATCACATAGCCGTGCTTGTTGGCTAGAGTGTCATTTCTATTGGATGTGGATGTGTGTTGTTGCAGATGGCCGCTTTCATCCTTCAGGTGGTCCAGAAAGGTGACGGGCTCAGCCGAAGATGGAGCAAGTCGAGCCTCTCTCAACCACGTGTCATCAAAAGATTCTTGCTTACATGTGGGAGCGTATGAAGGGACCCTGAGGTTTGACTACCCACGTGGTGCAGCTGCTCGGTGGCACTTCATGCTCATCAAACAAGCAGGGTCATAGTCGTCGGCATCGCAACTACAGCTCTCCTTAGGGTTTCGTGTTAGGCAAAAGGTTCCTGCTGGACGCACTCCGTAGGGTTTTCGTCTTGGGCGAAAGGTTCCTCGATTCACTCCTCAGGGTTTTCGTCTTTGAGTCGAGGGTTTAGGAGTTTAGGGTTTCCGGTGCGGAAGCGACGTGCGAGTGCACTGCAAGGGGCGCGAACAGACTCGGTCAGGGGCACGGCAGCTTGATTTTTACGGTGCGGAGGCGACGTGCGAGTGCTCGGCAAGGGGCGCGAACAGACTCGGGCAGGGGCACGGCAGCTTGATTTTTACGGTAGGGAAGCGACGTGCGAGTGCACCTTAGATGTTTGTCGCGAGTGTACATTGGATGCAAAACGCGAGTGTACCTGGGATAGCGCGCCCCGGAGTAGTTGGAGCAAGAGCAAGAGCAAGAGTGAGCAGCGTAACAGTTGGAGCAAGCAGCGAGTGGTCTCTTTGGTCTCACTAGCATCGGGTCTAGCGACAGCTGTTTGATCTCCCCAGTTTAGAACTAGGGAGGTTTGCCTTTAAGCAGCATCTCAGGTACACCTCTGTGAAACTTTCCCCGCTCCAGCTGTTGGAATTTGCAATGCCGTGGATGGGCCTGATTACTGTTGTCAGCGCGATCTTGCTGGAGGCGGGGCGTCACCGCAGTGCTGCAGCATAGTTCAGCACACGAGACAGTCCACTCGCTCGTATAGATGCGGTGCCGCCCTCGAGGACATGACAGGTGTCCTGTCATATCAGCCGAACGGCGTCCGCAGCCTTGCGATATTGCTCTCCTCAGTTTGCGGCATGCTGGCAAATGTCTCCTCGACCTGGGCCCCTTGGAATCAACACCTTTAGAAGGTACAAAACCAGACATGTGGCTACCTGGCTTTGTCACATGTTCGCTTGACGCCGACTTCTCGAGAAGCAGAGTAACAGTGACGCTGGCTTTGAGTGCAGCAGGAGCTGAGGTTCTGGGCTTGACGTCTCCCATCGCTCACATCCTGCCCCATGGCATGTTTAAGGAATCACTGCCTGTTTTCACCTAAACGAATCGTTTGTTTCCGGCTCAGTTGATGATTTCGTTGTCGCTCCTGAGGCTAGGTCAGCTCAAGACGGTCACCGCACCTCAACCGGCACTTTAATCGTCCTTCGATGACCAGTCTGACTCTATAGAGTATCGCACACTAGAGGTTGTGGTGTAGGGCAGACGAATCATCATCGCTGGGACATGACATCCACAGGTTCTTCTCGGCGGATTTCTCTTTTTTGATGCTCGGCCCAGCCTGAGAACTCTGCTGGGTGCCTTCTGTACACTTTTGGCCATCACAATGCCTGCGGCTCAGACATGGAGCTTTAAGCCGGCTCCCTGGAGCTCTTTGCTCAAAGGTACGCCTTGAGCAAGACGTTCAAGAGCGACAAGGTCCGAGCCCAGGGTCCATGCGCGTTTGATCAGGTCGCTTCCCGCTCCCTGCAGGAAGCCACGAGCTCTGCGAGCACCCGGGTAGACTGCGACGAGGAAGCCGGCCTCAAGGCCTGAAAGGTGTCACTGCGACACTGTGTGCAGTATTGCTTTCGAAGAACTTCGGAGCAGCCCGGGAGGTCGGTGAAGGAAAGCTTCCAAGCTCAATCCGGGCGTCAGAAGTTTGAGATTCCATGGACTCGGCAAAGTACGAGACATGGTCAGTTTTCAAGTGCCCACATTCCAGCCTAGAGCGCCTGAAAGCTGGGCTTGCCCGAGGGCTGCGGTGTGTGACCAGCCTTTGAGGCTGTTGTTGTGGAACGGAGAGATGCTTAGCTTCCCAAAGTGGCGAGCCGTCAGCTAGAATGCGAGACCCAAGCAAAAGAACCAACCTATTCAGTTCGACAGAGATGCATGATGAGTTCGTGGTCGAAGTAGTTCAGTTCATGGAACATTAACATCAGGTTTTCAGGACCTAGCACGGGTGCGCCATAGCTTCGGGGTGTTGGCACGAGTCAACGCAGCCCTTCATTATGATAGCCAGCGCCGCAACGTTCCAAGTCGTGGATAGAGTCTGCACCAGCATCCCGCTAGCTAGTTTCGATGACCCTTTGGCCTGCAGCCCTCGGCCCCAAAGCCAAAGCTGTCCCCAAAACCAAGCCGTACGCCACCAAACTCAGACCT